CAGGGCCGGGGCCATGTTTCCAATTTTGAAGATGTTGCCCTTCCTTGTATTAATTACAGTCCCACTACCAATGTATGAAATATTTCTGGTTTCTTCATATCCATGCAAACATTAAAGTTTTTATCTTTGCAATCTAAGTTAAAAATACCATTGTAGCATGAATTTGCATTCTGATTTTTATGAGTAAGGTTGAGCATCTTTTCATATATTTGAGAACAATTTGTGTTTTTTAATATTCATGTTCTCTTATATTGAGTTTTTCCATTGAGTTATCTTTAAAAAAATTTGTAGGAGTTTTTATTTATTAATTTAATTTGAAGTACTTTTCCAAATTATTTGGGAGGGTGACATCATTATATATGTATTTTTTGTGGAAAGTCACATGGAATCTTTTGAATTTTATATGGACAAAATTTTTGATCTTTTATTTCCAGGTTTCTGAAATTTATGTCTTACTTAAAAGGACCTCCCACAATCTTCAATTATAAAAATATTATCTTATGTTTTCTTTGAAACTTTAAGAAAACTTATTTTTGAAGACGTGAACACACATGTATTTTTAAATGCTTAGAGGGTTTAGTTTAACCTAGTTGTGCTTTTTTTTTTACTATGAATTCTTATTAAGATATATATATTTTTGTAAAATACCTTTTCAGTATTTATGACATGATAGCATATATATCATATAATTTTTTAAGTAGTTTTGGTGCTTTTAAGACAGCTATGTAAAACAGGATCACTGAGTGCTCTTGATAAGACTTCTTGGATCACAAGGATCTCAAAGAAATAGGATCTCACTAAAATCCTAAAAATATCTCTTTTCTAAAAGCTTTCTGCTCCAGGCCGGAAGTGAAGGGAACTGCTTTAGTCTCTCCTTCAAGCATTTGGAGAAAATCATATGGGCTGAGTGATACGAACTGAGAAGACATTCAATGAGAAGTAAAGGATCTACATTCTTTCTACTTCTTATTTTTTTGACAGAAGATTCCATGAGCCCTTGCCTGTGTTTGCCTTCTAGGTGGGAGGAGAAGCAGAAAACTGTGTACATCTCAGTGTGGCAAATTTCCTATTAGATGCATCATAGAAATACATTATATCACTTTGATTGATATCCTTAAGGTCGTCTAAGATGGAGGGATGAAAGCTACCATATTTTCTTGCCAAATATTACCACATCATGCTAAAATTTGACGAGGAATGTAGATTTGCATAATAGAATTAGCTCTGATATAGAATTTGATAGAGTACAACTCTAGAGCAGCAGTACATGCTCTGACACTGGGTCATTGGAACCCAGGGACCTGGATTCAGTCATCCTTCCAGCTGGAAGGATGCAGGCCTCATATGTGCACACATGGTCTCATGGCAGAAATTAAATCAATAACCTAGATTCTGATTAATAGACAACATTGTTATAAAATAGACCTTAGATTTAGATATCTCATTTAGCTCCATTCCTTCCAATAAATGTGCTCATATCGCTTCTGGGTAACTGAAGTTAAGAGTTTTCATTTCCCAGATTTACACAACTAGTTAGTGGTAAAGCGGTGATTAGAACAAGACTCCTGGCCCCAGTGCTCTTTCTTCTCCGCATAGCCTTTACGGTGACTCTTCAAAGGCTGGAGAGCTCCAGTTGTTCTGGAGACTTCTCCCAACACATAACTCTTGTGTTCTAGTACAGCCAACGTCAACGTCACTGTTACAGCCAATCTGTCTCTTTATGATCACTGGAGCAAGCTGGCTGCACACTCTGGAAGGGGCTCGCATTCTCAGAAGCAGAGGTTGCTTCAGAGGAACATTTCAAGGTGTTTCTTTCCTAGGAAATACTTTTTATACGGCACCATGAAATTCAGGCATTTCCTGAAGAAATCTGTCCCAATTTCACAAATTGAGTGACGTCATTGGATTTCATTTCCCTAAATGCTGACATTCACTTCCATGCCATTCAGCTGTATCCCATATAGGTTCTATACACAGGAGACCATAGCTAGGTAGACACAGGCTTGAAAATAAATGTTAAATCAGGCAACTGAGTGAATTTTAGATCCATCTGCTAGACCACTAGAAGTAAAGTATTTGGGGAAATAGTAAGACTTAAAGAAGATTTTATGTTTTTTGCTTTCCTCAAGTTTGTAAAAGATATCTCTTTGCTTTAAGATAATTCCAATATTGTGTGTGTTCTTTTCCAATCACTTAAACAAAGTTGACAAAGGAGAATGATTGATTTTCATGGATGAACAGTTATCAGCAACTCAAAAAAATCTACAGGGTATCTTGCATTCTGAGTCAAAGAGTGACAAATTCTCTTTTGAAGTTAATGAATGGCATATCTTATTAACAGTATGCTACTCTAAGGTTAAGATCAAAAGAGGAGATCTTAGGGCCGGCTCAGTGGTGTACTGGTTAAGTTCGCGCTCTCTGCTTTGGTGTCCCGGGGTTCACAGGCTTGGGTTCTGGGCACAGACCTATGCACACTTATCAAGCCATGCTGTGGCAGGCATCCCACATACAAAGTAGAGGAAGATGGGCACGGATGTTAGCCCAGGGCCAATCTTCCTCAGCAGAAAAAAAAAAAAAAGAGGAGATTTTTCTTACAGCTCCTGATAGTGATTGGAAAAAGAATGTCAGATTCTAATTTTTCAATTATTCATCTCCACCTCCACTGTACTATTATCTGTACCACTAGCGACTGAAATTGTCTCCGAACTGGGTTTCCTACCATCCGTCCAGCAGCCCCCTCCTCCACCTACCCACAAGTCTAAGCTTCAGAATAATTGCTTCAGAGTAACTGCTCCAAAACAGTGGTTCTCAAACCTTAAGGCGCATCAGAGCCGGCTGGAGGATTTCTAAAAACGGATTTCTGAGCCCCTCTCCCAGAGTTTTTCATTTAGTAGGTCCGGGTGGAACCTGAGTATTTTCATTTTTAGCAAATCTCCAGCAGATGCCAACTGGGCTGGCTCCTGAAACCCGCATTCAGAATTACTAGTCTAAAACATAAACCTGGCCACACCACCCTCCTGCAGAAAGTCCTTGAGTGGCTCCTCATCCCCCAAGGTCTAAGTTCCTTCACATGGCTCACAGGGCCCATCCTCACCTGGGTCTTCCCTAATTATTATGTTTTATCTCTCACTGTCCCGGGACTCAAGTGGTATATTGACAAAAGTTTAAAATCTGACTCTTCAGGGTGTGACACAGACACAGCCATGTATGTACATGTGTATGTATGCATGTGTGTGTGCCTGTACACAAACATAAGATTATTTTACTGATATAAGCAGTGTGGAGACACAATTTACAAATAATAATAAAAATATACAGTGATCTTTATTGTAAATTCCATATAACCAATTGATTCAATCATTATAGAATGCTTTTGTTGATTTTTCACTGAACTCTTTTACCTGTAATCACATACAGTCTCTGTCACATATTCTTTTTTTAAATTCCTTAGTTTTTTAAACAACTCTTGACAAACATAAAAATTATTCTTAACACACAGGCTGGAGAAAAACAAGCTTCAAGCCAGACTTGCCCTACAGGCTATAGTTTGCCCATCCCTGGTCTAGACAATCAATAAAACAATAAATCAAACTGTGATTTATAGTATTTGCCAATATCCATTGTATAAATATTCCCACCATGGTGGATTTCAAGCTATCAAAGAGATGAAACTGAACATGGAATTGGGAAGAGACGTACTGTGGTAGACCAATACATATAGAGTATTTCCGCCACACAGCTACAGCAGTAGTGAAAAACCTCCAGAGTACATATAGATAGATGCATAGATAGATAGGATACAGCAAAGTAATTAGGAATCAATGAATGTATTATCTTTTAAAAATTCTTTATTGTATTATAAGTTTATATATCTTAATTTTTAGTAATGGTTGTGTTTACCAGCCAGTTGACAAAATTCCTGAAAATCTATCAGTTGGCCCCCATGAGTCGGTACCAGCTGGCTCCAGCACACCACTGCCTACCCATTGTTTCAAACAGCATAGATATTGGACTGTGACATTTCATGTCCTGTGCCCCGCACACCACGCTCTCTGGACCTGACCTCCTTTTCTAACCTTCCTCATCAGGCTAACCTGACTCCCCCGTCAAGATGTTAGCAGCATCTCCTGCTGGAAGCCTTCCACACTCTTTCTAGGTAGAGCTGCGTGCTCTCACCCCGGTCTTCCCGCGGTGCCTGGTGCTGCGCTCTGCTGTAGCTCTCCCCTCTTTGTTCCACAGTGGCATATCTCCAGGTCTGACTCTGCTATTGACTGTAAGCTTCTCCACCTCAAGGACTCTGCCTCAGTCAGCTCTGTGTTTTTATTGCCTAGAACAGAGCCTGATATATAGTAGGGGTGCAATATATACATCTGGAACTGAACTACTAGCAAAGATGGATAACTCTTGGCTGCCAGCTTGCAGAACTTTGTGCAACTTTCTTTGTACTATAGACTTGAAACAACGGTCCATACGTATTAGTCAAAAGTTTGCATAGGAATGAAGGTTAAAAACAAGTGCCTATAGTGCAGATTTTAGGTTACTTTGGATTTTGTTTGTAATTTCTTTTTTTAATTGAGGTATAATCGACACATAAAATTATATTAGTATAATTTCTATATCTTCCATTACCCCAGCTAATTGAAGTGATTTTTGAAACAAGAACAACTGAGTGTAACCAAGAGACTAGATGGTGATACATGGAGGCTACAAGCAGAAAAAAATTTTAAAGTAAAAGGGAGACTGCGATTTTAAAATGCACACTATTAGCTGACACCTTGTGGGCTACCACCATTATTGCCAAGGCATTTTCCGCAGAATCACTGCTCAGATTCTCTGCTTGGACTCCTCCACTGTAGTCTGACTGGGATTTGATGGAGGAGGAGATAAGCCCAGGGTAAGATTTTGTCAGGGCCCCACATCTCCTCTCAATTGCTCTTTTGTTTACTGATCTTACTGATCCTGAGCAAGGGGGCTGGGACCTGCAGGGAGAGTCAACTCACCTCATAGTCGATGTCTAAGGCATCCGCTTCGCCCTTGGTCCGGAAGTGCTGTGTGTGTTTGTCCACAGTGAAGTTCACCTGCTTGCCGACACGCTCGATGAGGACTGAGTGCCAGTGCTGGTCGTCCAGGAGGCTGCCCAGGGTGGCTGAGGGTGGGCTGCTGCTGAGCCGAGGTTTGCTGTCATCTGTGAAGGGGAGAGGAAGACACGATGATGTCTGTGCCCAAGGGAGCCTTGAGTACTAGAATGTCCCGCAAGCAAGGCCAGCTGTCTCTATCCTAAAGGTAAGGAATGATTCTTTCTCCACAGGCCCAGAACTGTGCTGGCCTTCTAAAGGAAAACAAGCTTTACCCTCAGATTTCAGGACCAAATTCTAGGTCAATTGATAATACATACCCCTTCTAGACATGAAATGACATGTTTTCAGCACTTGAACAATTAAATAATAAAAGGAACTATACCCTAATGGCTATATGAATAATATTGAATATAGGACTTATCACACTTAGAAATAATACACATTCTTTGCATTTGAATGGCTCTTGAGTGGAGAAAGTGGATCTTGAGTTGTGCTTTGGAGTGAACTATGGATGAGAAAGGGAAGACGGTGGGCACACTGAGTTAGGTAAGTCTCTGGGCAAAGGCAAAGATGAGGGAAGGATCATTTTAGCTGCCATTTTCAACAGCCTGCTATATGAATAGCACTTTGGTAGGGATTTTTTAACCTCAATCTTGAATCCTCTGAGGGAAAATGATTCTCTGCATTTCACAAATAAGGAAGCCGAGGCTCAGTGAGGCTGAGCGTGCATGCCCCAGAGGTGCAGCTGGGATTTGAATCCAGGTCTGCTTGACACTTTTTCCTCTGACCACCACAGGGGTCACATGTGTGGACTCAGCCTAGGTTGAGTTTGGGAGACACCCCTTGGGAGGATATGAGAGATTCAGGTGGAGAGGTACATTTTTCAGTCTAGTCTGCCTGGTTCTCCGCCCCCCCTCCACCCCTCCCACAATTTTATGTAAGTTCTTGCTGGTACCCTTTTGTCAAAAAAATTACAGATTTTTTTATTTTTTCCTGCAGAATGTCTCAGACTTAGCAAAATGAAGAATTAAATGCAACTAATTGTTACTTATATGTAAACTTTCAATCTTTTGAATAGTTTATTATTCAGTCCCCTCAGTAACTGAAAGCTAAATGTGTCTCTCCTCTCCTAAGACGTGTTTTACCAGAACAGCTGCAACAGCCTGCTCAGCAGTGTGGCATTAAGGGGGCAGGAGCTGCCATTTCCCCTGGAGGCTGCTCACTCCCACCTCCATTATGGTCCTAAGTCACTGCTTCCTTCACTGAAGAACACTTTGTTGCTTCCTGTGGAGGTGGGGGTGGGGCCTCAAACATTATAATTAAAAAATGAGAGCTAGTGAGTTCATAGCTGACTTTATTTCACTGATTTATTCATTGGTTATTTGTTCCACAACTTTTGAGTTCTCACAATTTGTCAACTTATGCTAGTGAGTTAGTAGATATTTCTGTTTTTTGTCTCCCTCCTTCTCTTTCTTCCTCCTTCCCTTCTTCCCTCTCTTTCTTCTCTTCCTCCTTCCTTCCCTCCTTCCCACTTTCTTCTCTCCTTTCCTTCTTCCTCTTCCTTTCCTCCTTTCCTTCCTTAAAAGGTGTTGATATCCACCTACGCTGGTTACAGAGACAAATGATGTACAAAGGAGATACCGAGTTAAAAGGCACACTCCCCTTCCTGAAGGTCTTAATGTAGAGACTCTCAATAAGTAAATCAATAAAAAATATGGTGGTGGTGTACAGTGGTTACAGCTGGGAGCCAAGGAAATGCAGAGTCAGGAGCTGTGGAGCCTCCAATAGAGCAATGATGGGCCTGAGATTTGGCCCAAAGAAGGAGCACACAGCCAGGAGAAACAGGTGCCAAGGCTCAGAGGCACAAGGGAACATGGTAGAGGGATTCCACACAGCAGAGTCCCATGGCCATGCCAGCGTGGCTTATCTCATGCAGGACTAGAGTGCTAGTGTAAGCAAGGTTAGATTTACAGCTTATATTTACCTTTAAAGAATGGGAATCAATGGTGAATTAGTAAATCAGAGATTACTGACTCAGATTAACATTTAAGAAAGGTTATTAAGAACTCTTAAATCTAACTGAGGGTAAGAGAGGAGATTGACTTTTTTGTTGTTGTTTGCCTACTTCTATAAAAAAAAAAAGAAAGATTATTTTGGTAGCTGTATGAGAATTTGATTAGAAGACAAGACTGGCAGTAAGGTTGGCAGTAATCTAGATGGGAGACAGAGGAGCTTTAAAGAGAGCACAGGAAGAAGGGATTGCCATGTGATGGTAAGGTGTTGCGCGTGGTAGCCTCATGTGTCACGTGGATATTGGAGGTAGAGAAGATAAAGGAAAAGGCTCACCTAAAGATGACCTGTAGGTTTTTTGCTTGAGCAGGTGGGTGAAAAGTGGTACCAGTCATGAGATAAGAAAGACAGAACAAAGAATACGTCTCTCTCTCTCTCCAGACATGCGCACATACACACACACCCCTTTTATTTATAAAATAAAACTTGTCAAGGAGCTAATGATTGATTGAAGGAAACTTAGTGTGCCTTATAAACTTAAAATTACCTAGAACTGTTTGTTCTAGGTAATAAGTCAAATAGAATTAATATTAGAATTAATATTTTTATTTGTTGTGCATCTAACTTTTTTTTTAAAAGGGGGAAAGGCACATTTCTGAATAATAATATAAAATAATAATATAAAATAAAAACAGATTTCTTAATAATAAGCCCAAAACATTAAACATTTGAAAATTTACAGCCACTATAAGTCACAAAAAGAGAAAAAAGGGAAAGGAATCACAGCCTTTCCCTCAAGTATTCTATGTATTGTTTGGGTGGGTTTTAGTGATATACTGAGTTCTTTAATAGAGCCAGTGATAATAATGATTAAAATAAAATATTTTACTATTTTTCTACACTATTATCCCTGCTTTAAAAGATGAATTTAATTATGAATAGGTCAAACTGACAATAATTTTTATTTAACTATTCAGATACGGTAACAAATCTTCTTCTCATCCCTATGTTCATCTGCTAATCTTCCATATACCTTATAGGTAATCACTGTTATTAATGTCTTGTTTCTCCTTCCAGAAAAAATTCTAGGCATATGCAAGCCAGCAAAGATACATATTCTTTCTTTCTCCTCATTTAATGTGTTTTTTTACTCTAATCGTGAAACACAATGAAAATTTTTCTGCACTTTTTCATTTTCACTTAATCTACCCTGCAAAGTTTCTTATATAAGTATATAAAAAGCTTTTTGACCTTTTTTTACAGCTGCATGGTATTCCATTGAATGATATATATGATGTATTTTTTAACAAGTTTCCTACTGAAAGATATTTAGGTTTTCCCTCTAGTGTTAATACTTAAAACTGCTGAAATGCCTCATATGTAGAGGTCATTTTGCGTATGTGCAAGCATTTCTGTAGCATGCACTCTTAGATGAGAAATTAGTGTTCAAAGTTTTCAAGTTTGCAATTTTGACAGGCATTGCCAAATTGTCCTCTATAAAAGCTGTACCTATTTAACTCCTACTAGCAATTTATGAGAGTGCCTTTTGTCCACAGGCTTGTCAAGAAAATATGTTCAAACTTTTGGAATTTTGCCTGTCTGACAGGCAAAAAAAATATATCTCTGAGTAATTTTAATATACATTTTTCTTTATATGAATGAGTTTGAAAATCTTTTCATTTTTTATTTTCCATTTTGTGAACTATCTCCTCATATCTCTTGCCTATTTTTTCTATCAATTTTCTTATCAATTCATGTATAGTCCATTGTCTGTAATATGGATTTTGGAAATATCTTTTTTGCTGTTCTTTACTTGCCTTTTGATTTTGCTTTTCTTGGTTTTTTAAATTTTTTATTTGCCATTAAGACATTTTTGTGTTGAAAAATTCACCAATTTCTTCTTCATTTATGGCTTATGGATTTGTGTTATAATTTAACAGATCCTCCCATTTTGAGATCATTAAAGAATTCCCCCAATTTCTTCTAGCTCATTTCATTTGGAATTTATTCCGGTGTGTGATATGAGGTACAGTTCTACCTTTATTTTATGTTTTTAAGTGGTTACCTACTTGCCCTAAGTCCATTATTTTTAAATCCTTGGGTAATTTTTTTAAGTAAATCATGTGTATAACTTTCAAATGTAAAGAAAAATACTACTACATGGAATGAGTGGATTTGTTACATTGATCAGATTAGGGTTCTCCCAGCACATAGATTGAGATTTTTACATTTTGGAACTTCACGTAGTAAATTTCAAGTTGGTTACTGCCAGCACACTCTACTTTCATCCACTGCTACCATCAGCACCACCTTCTTAATAGGTCAGAAATTCTGGACAGTGGGAAGCAGAGCCCTCATCGTTAACCCCATCCTTACTCTCACCAGGCTTTAAAGTCAGCCCTTCCTCTCCCGGTCCTAACTTTGGTTCAGAGAGATTGCTACTATCATTCCAGCCAATAATTCCACTCATAATTTTAAGACTGCAGAGGAAGAAAAGTATACATCTTTTTTAAATAAAATGCTGTTACTTCTCTCACTGCATTTAATGAAGTCATAAACATTAATTAACACACTTATCTTCTCATGCAAAATAGCTTATGAAGTTTTCATGAATATGTAAAGCAATTTGTTGACCTTTCCTCAAAAGTAGATTAATATTGCTCCTTCTTTACATTGTTCATTTACTTAGTCAATTCTTTTTCATTGCCTAAAGATAAAGCAAAATTAAATCCCACCAATCATTTGAATAAACATATGTCAATAAGTATTGAGGAACTTCAGAAATGTTGGTAACTTTTTACCTAGTAACCTACTGTCTGGAAATCTATCCTAAGAAAACAGACTGAAATATGGTGAATTTTTTTTTCAAAATGTCTACTAATTTAAAAATTGGAAATAACATCTAATCATTTGGAAAGACAGAAAAAAAAACTTTGAATAAACACAGGTAGAATCACCAGGTGGAATATATATATAGGCATTTAAATGATATTTAAGAAGTACCTATATCATTTTAAAAGTATACTCGGTAGTGACTGTCATTTTTTGATAACATTAAAAAGTAACATTTAATAAAAGAGATATTCAATAATTTATA